GTAAATAGCAGGATTAAAAGTAAACATACCTCAGTCATCATTGATTCATATCTCAGACACAGACAATAAGATAAATATATCTATTAAAATATATTAGGATAAAAATGGTTAAAACCAATCATCCATTTTTATCATTCTTCAAGGTGAGTCTAAATTTTTAATAAGTAACATGCATAATCCTTACCTTAATAAACTACTTTTAATGAATGTGGGAATAAAAATGCTGAAATTAAAAAATATGAGTGGAAAGAGCAGACAGCACATTTATTAAAAAATTATTCTAAGATCTAACTTGTGAAAAAGTTTTTGTTTACCACAGACCTGATATTTTCCATTTAGTTAGTGAAAGGTTTTAGCCAGTTTAAATAGTGACTATTTTCTTCAATCAGCCAGTGTTTTCACTCTTTACAGATGATTCCGAGAATGTGCACAAGCATTTAAGTCAGTCGAGAAAGACCATGAGGATGCAATTAGCAAAATCTGAGAACGTGGGAAGTTCTATAAGATACATGACCCAGTTCTCTCAACAAACAAATAGTTATTACTTGGATTTAAAAGAAGTACTTGGGCTGCTCTGGGGAGAATAAACTGTAGAGGGACCAAGGTGGAGCCATAGAGACCTGCTAGGAAGTATTGTATTAATCTATGGTCCAGGGCTGTAGTGGTGGAAAAGGTGAGAACTGGTCAGATTTGAATATGTGTTGAAGTTAACGGAATTCGCTGATGGATTGTATAGAGGGTGTGAGAGAAAGAGATAGAGGCAAGACAATCCAAGGATTTTGCCTTGATCCCCTGGAAGGATGGAGTTGCCATTAACTTCAACACGATGACTGCAAAATAAATTTGAGATATCTACTAGACACCCAAGTGGTATAGTCACTTGGAAATATAAGCCAAGAGTTCTGGGTAGGAGATATAAATTTGGGAGTCTTCAGAGTAAATAAATGTAAGGATTAGAATAAATTAAGTCAGCAAGGGAGTGATAGAGATCTGTTGCTTCAAAAATACTATAACGTTGGCCTGTTTGCTCAGTGGTTGGAGCATTGGCCTGCTCTAATGGACCAAAAGGTCATGGGTTGGATTCCCCGTGAAGGGCACATTCCTCTGTTGCAGGCTTGATCCCCAGCCCCAGTCTGGGTGCAAACTGACAGCAACAATTGCTGTGTCTCTCTCACATCAATGCTCTCTCTCTCTCTCTCCCCAATTTCTCCCTCCCCTCCAAAAAAATTACTATAGAATGAACAACCCCCAAATTTAATGATTTAAAACAACAATCATTTATTCTCATGGATTTTTGGTTGGATGAGGATTTGCTAATCTAGGCTGGCATCATTTGGTTCTGCTCCAAGTGTCTCTAATCCTTATCCTAGAACCTGAGGACTGGCCCAGGCTAGAACCTGAGGACTGGCCCAGGCTGTGTGTGTGTGTGTGTGTGTGTGTGTGTGTGTGTGTGTGTTTCCTGGCAATTTCAGAGGCACAAGAAAGAAAGCAGAAGCACATACTATGGTTAGATCTAGGCCCAAAGCTGGCACATCCTCACTTCTTCCTTGTTCTATTGGCCTAATCAAGTCACATAACTGAACCAAAAGTCAAGGATCAGTCAAACAATAAAGCAAAGGCATGGGTACAGAGAAGGGTAAAGATTTGAGTTCAATACACAATCTCTTTTAAGTCCATCCTGGGGCATTTTAACTTTAAATGGCTCCCATATCTAACTAGGGGCCAGGCATACAGATTACTCTAGACATAATCTTAACCATTGCTCCCCTTGCCTATAGGAACTTTATTGAAGGCACCCATTATTTGATTCTTGTCAAAGCAATGAAAACATGGACTCCATATTATAAAGAAAGTCTTTGGCAAGATGCTCCAAGATACCCAAGCATACCATCTAAAGTCTGATGAGAAAAAAAAAGCAAAACAAAACTTGGAGAAGCAAATGATACGGAGGCATCTGTGTTTGAAATTGAAGAAAGTTTCATCCTCAGTGGCAGTGTCTAATAGAACTAACATGAATGCATGAACACGTATCAGAAGCTCTACACCAAGCAGCAAGTTCTAACTTTAAACAGGCCATTGCCAGTATTTTTCCCCCCAAGCTGCTAAAAATGTAGAATATGCATTTTACCCCCTTCTCTGCATTTGGGGAAGATTTTTTAAAACTGAGAAAATTAGCCGAAACCGGTTTGGCTCAGTGGATAGAGTATTGGCCTGCGGACTGAAAGGTCCCGGGTTCGATTCTGGTCAAGGGCATGTACCTGGGTTGCGGGCACATCCCCAGTAGGAGATGTGCAGGAGGCAGCTGATCGATGTTTGTCTCTCATCGATGTTTCTAGCTCTCTATCTCTCTCCCTTCCTCTCTGTAAAAAATCAATAAAATATATTAAAAAAAAACCTGAGAAAATTACTTATAAATATATTTCTAAAATTATGGGCTTTTAAAATATCTCTGCAAATAATTCTGGACTTTTGAAAAATAATGAATTAGACAGCACAGTACTAGTACTACCTTATATTTTAAGGTAGCTGCTTTTGCTAGATCTAGAGATTTGTGGGGGCTGAAGGAGCCTTAGAGTTCGTAATCACCTAATTTTTTAGATGAAGTAACAGAGGCCCAAGGAGGTTAACTTGATTTTTTTTTAGAATAAAAGGATTGGATCATATGAGTTGTAATCCAGTGGCAGGTGACACAAGAGGTAACTGTGGGAGGCTTTAGTCCCACCTCTTCTCCATCCATCCCCATGATCTCTAGTCTTCCCCCTTTATCCCTTCTCCTCAGTAAATTTACAGTCTAGTAAAAACCGATTCACTACTCAACCCAAGCTGCCAAACAAGGCCCCATAGTTGCCTCTTCCCCCCGACTCATCACAGTGAAGAAATCCTGTAGTGCTCACTGTCCACCTGTTATACTATAAATCAGAAGACACCTTAATCAATAAGCCAAATTAATTTGGAGTCTTTTTTATTTTGCTAGTGCTAGTGGGCCCAGAGGAAATATTCCTTCTCAAATTCTGGGACCCAACATGGTGGAAGTCTTTCTTATTTATACTTTTTTCAGTTCTTTGTCTTCCAAATTTGGAATGAGACTTCCAGACCTTCTGAGAAAGAAAGCCTGCGTGCTGGGAAGGGGCTGTGAGACCATAATTCAAGGCCTGGCCTGGCGCCAACACTGACAACTCTGTCTGGGGCATAGTTTATGGCCTCTCTGGAATGGGAGTAGTCTGATTTTTCCCTATTATTTAAGCAAGCAAGCATTTACAGAAGCCAAAAAAGCAGGGTTAAAGTTTCAAACAGCAGTTTTTACCCAAGATCGAGGTTACTATGCTTCACACCCACCTTCTCCATCACTGTCATCAGGGTCTAGAGTTTCGTCGGCCTTTTAAAACTGGAGGATTTGTTGGTATCCTGTTATTTTCCTACCTGAGTTGCACTCGGGACTGATTTGGGGGATAGTGTTTACATACATCTGTGGGAAACGATATATTTCTTCTTCCCTACAGGCACTAACTATTAGGCCTATTTAAGCTTCATTTCTTCTTGGGAGTTTAATTATTGTCTCTCTTTTTGTGGCTAGTGTCTCTCGTAGCAACAACAACGTATGGGCTTCCAAAGTCCTTTCTAGGACTAATGTGCTGCTTTCTCCTTTTCCATTTTAGGGGACCCTGAGAAGTTCAGGAGATGATTACTTTGCATACTACACTCGTTCTCAATATCTAAAACTTAACATGATCAGACTCAACTTCTTACTGCTGCTGTCAAAGTTAAACAAAGATGACACCAAGCAGAATGGCAAAGACAGTATATCAGTAGTATACTATTTCAATAGGGAAGAGGGTCAAGTGTGAACTAAACTCAACTTCAATCTGTACAGAGGTGACTGGGCATTTTAAATGGAGAATGAGGGAGTAGAAAGGGAGGAGAGCAAGGGCTCCTTTGAATCAAGAATGTGAAAAATACAAAGTGTGGTCCGCGTAAAGGTTGGTTAGCCAGTTGTGTCTATTAGCTGGCAATTATCGATTAGGATCTTGCCCTTCCACAGAGACTGGGAGACAGAGACCCCATCCTTCCTGAAATTTACATTGTAAAGTATGGCCTTCAGGTCCTTAAGAAAGACACCCTTGAATTGTGGGAGATTCATCTACATCTCAAAAGGACAAAGGAAGGACTCACAATTGGAAGCCCTTTAGGTAAGTGTTGTAATACTGGGTGGGCCAGGGGCCCATTTGCAGCTGTTGGCTGGAACTAAGGGAATTTTTTGGCAGACTTAAAATCCCCCAGGCAAGCACTTTAAGGGGTCATCCTAGGAATAAGGTCTTGAGCTGTTAGAAACTGTGTTAGTGGTTTTGTTTTTTAAGTCTTTTAATGTGGGGGTAAGCGATTGGATGTAATCATGTGTTGAGAATCTATAGTTTTTATATGCCAAGGTTGAGGCCTAGTAGAGGGCTCAGAGCAGCCTGCCTAGAATTTGATCAAACAGAGAATGTTTCTCACTGAGTAACTTTAAGACGTGTTATTTTATTTTAATTTTAAAAATTATTTGCCAAAGCCTCCATTTCTTCATCTGTAAAATAGGTATTTTAGCATCGCATATAGCTCTTGGCAGTATCTAGTACAGCACTATCCAATAGAAATATAATTCAAGCTCACATGTCATTCTGAATGTCCACACAGCCACATTTTTTAAAAAGTAGAAATAAAGTTAATGTTAATTTATTTACCTAATATATTCAAATGTAATCAACATTTTTAAATTATTCAAAGATTTTTACGTTCTTGTCTTCGTCCCTAATCTTTGAAATCCGATGTGTATTTTACACTTACAGTCCCACAATTCGGACCAACCCATTTCAAGTGTTCCACAGCCACACGTGGCTTTTGCATTGGACAGTAGTCTGGACAGCTAAGCAGCAGGCCTTGCTGACGTAAGCGTGGGGCGGGGCTTATCCAGTTGGGGGTGGGACTTAGCCAGTTAGGGGAGGAGCTTCTCGGAGAGGGCGTTTTGGGCCTCGTCAGCCGCCGTAGGAGAGCGCCGGCTGCGGCGGCGCCACGTTCCCTGCGGCGGCTGCGGACGAATCTGCTGGGCTTCGGGGTGGTTCCCATCGACCATGGCCTTCACCCTGTACTCGCTGCTGCAGGCGGCCCTGCTCTGCGTCAACGCCATCGCGGTGCTGCACGAGGAGCGATTCCTCAAGAACAGTGAGTGGGCCGTGGGGTGGGGCTGGGGTGGCGGCGGCACTGCCCGGGGGGCGCGGACCCGAGACCGCCGCGCGAGGGGACAGCCTGGGGCGGGAGAGGAGGCGGCGAAGGGCCCGCTGTTGGGGCCCTTCCTGCGGGGGTGGGCGGAAAGCCGAGCAGTTTGCATCTCACCAGCGGGGTGAAGGTTGTTCCACGGACGCCCGCTGCGTGCGGGTCCTGGGGGTGGGAATGCGGGGGGCCCTGCGGTGAGCCAGGGACGCCCCGCCCGCGATTCCTCTCGGTTAGTGATTGAATGCACTGCTCTGTGACCGCCGACGGTGGAAAACCCGGGGTCTGAGTCTCCGTGAAAGACGGTAGGGCGTGGCCCCATCGGAGCACAGGTGACCGGGTGAACGAACTCCTGGAGGCCGTGGAGGTTCGCGGGCTTTGGGGCTACGAGGAAAGGGGACGTGATGGTATTAGCACGACATCCAGCCACCCACGTTCCAAGAAAGTTTATTCAGCCCATAGTTTTGGGTATCTGTACTGGAATCATACAGAAATGAAGACACAGGTTATGCCCACCGGGACCTCACAGTCCAGCACCCCCATTCCCCCCAACCCCCACCCTCCGCCATCCTGGGCAAGCAGGCTGCTGCCTGCCTTAGGAGGCACATGGAGGCAGGGTACTGCGCTCCGTGCACCATGTGCCACAGTGTGCCGGCTACATTCCGGGGTCCTCAAACTACGGCCCGCGGGCCACATGCAAATACAAATATTGTATTTGTTCCCGTTTGTTTTTTTGCTTCAAAATAAGATATGTGCAGTGTGCATAGGAATTTGTTCATGGTTTGTTTTTTTTTAACTATAGTCCGGCCCTCCAACGGTCTGAGGGACAGTGAACTGGCCCCCTGTTTAAAAAGTTTGAGGACCCCTGGGTGAATCGACACTCAAACCCATGAACAAGATCGTTATGTTTATTCCGTCAGAATAAAGTTACCGAGCACAAATTTATGTGCCAGGCCCACGCAGTAAGAGCTGATGAGGGTACAGCAGTTATCCTGACCTTCTAGTGGAAATTAATCTAAATGAAACTGAACAAGTCACACTAACACAGATGCAGAATATTATGGAAGAGAAAGGCAGTGACATGTTACCCGGTGGATCTGTGAAAGCTTCTGGGAGGAAGTGTGTCTAACCCCAAGTCTGATAAGTGAGTGAACATTAACGAGGTGCAGGTGAGAGGCTGGGAGACCTTGAGGGGGTGCGAAAACTCGGGGGCAGGCGGAAGCAAGGTCTTGAGCAGGGCAGTGACTTGACCAGATGTGTGTAATGTGCCATAGTTCGGAGAACAGGTTGGAAGGGTCGATAGTGGACAAGTAGAGATGGTGGATATACTAACAAGAATAATAACAACTAACACTTAACACTGGGCGCCCAGGTCTGTATCAGGCGCTTTACGTATATTAATTTGTGCAAACCCGACAGCAACTTTATGCGATAGTTTTCATCCCCACTTTTCAGATGAGAGAGTAGGTAACCTTTCTAAGATCAGGCAGCTAGAAAGTGGCAGACCTAGGATTCAAACATAGGCAATCTGACTCAAAAGGCCATCTTTTCACCACTATACATACAGGAAAATAGAAGGGACCATGTTGTGTGTTTAATTGTGCGCCCCCGCCCCCCAAAAAGATAAAGTCCTAACTCTTGGTACCTGTGGATGTGACCTTATTTGAAAATAGAGTCTCTGGAGGTGTTATTAAGTTAAGATGAAGTCACACTGGATTAGGATGGGCTCTGGACCCAGTGAGGTGTCCATGTAAGGAGGAAGCGATACAGAGGCACACAGACACACGGCGGGAGAAGGCCATGCGACAACACAGGCAGAGACGAGTGAGCCAGCTCCAAGCCAAGCAGTGCCGAGGTTTACCGTAACCATGGGAAGCTGGGAGACAGTCGTGGAGGAGATTGTGTCTCAGAATCTCCAGAAGGAACCAATTCTACAAACACCTTGATCTCAGACGTCTAGACTCCAGAACTGTGAGAAAATGAATTTCCTTTGTGTTGAGCCACCCAGTGTGTACTGCTCTGCTATGGTAGCCCTAGGAAACTATTACAAATCAGGAGATACTTTAAAGGTAGAAAAGGCAAAATGTATTGTTTGGACGTCGGAAATAAGGAAGAAAGGAAAAGGTCAAAGATCTCTCTTGGTTTTCAGGCTTAAGCAACCGAGTGAAGGGTTGTACCTTTACCGAGGTACAGAGTCATGGGGGAAAGCTGGGGTGGTAGTGGTGGATAAGGGGAAGAGAATGAAGTAAGTCTAGGACATGCTGAGTTTGAGATTGTGTCTGTGAGATATACGAGTAGGGATGTGAAGTAGTAGTGGGTTGGACTTAAATCCAAAAAACAAAGCAAGAGCCACAGTGGAGACTGAATATTGAGTTGCTCAGCCACAGATGATAAATGAAGCCATATGGAAAGATGAAATTGCTCAGGCAAAGAAGAGTACAAAGGGAATTGGTGACCAGTACAGTCCTTGAATCTCTTCCAGTAAACTAGGAATGGAAGGGAACTTCCTCAGTTTGATAAAGAACATCTAGAAACAGCCCCCTCACACCTCCCACACCCCAGGTAACATCCTCCTATATAATAAAGAGCTAATATGCTAATTAGACCGAACAGCAGAATGACCGTCCAGACGACCTCCCCTTGCAAGAATTTTGTACATCAGGCCCCTACTTATATATAATGATGAAAAACTGAGTGCTTTCCCCAATTAGGAATAAGAAAAGATGCCCTTTCTTGCCACTTCTAACATTGTACTGGAGATTCTAGCCAGGGCAATTAGATGAGTAAAAAGGAAAGATATCCAGATTGTGAGATTGAAAAAAGTAAAACTATCTCTTGTTTGTAAATGACAATCTTGTATAGAAAATTCTAAGGAGTAACTAAAACTATTAAAACTAATAAATGAGTTCAGTAAGGTTATAAGACACAGATCAGTAACAAAAATCAATTCTCTTCCTATACATGAACAATGAATAATAAAAAAATTAAACAGTTTTGTTTTTAATTTCAAAAAGAATAAAGTACTTAGGAATAAATTTAACAAAAGTGTGAGTCATGTGCTATGAAAACTACAAGGTATTGAATAAAATTAAAAAATAAATATTTTTAAAGATAATTAAAATAAAAACATCCTCTGCTCATGGATCAGAAGAGTTAATGTTGCTAAGATGATACCAAACAATAATATTGATTTACAGATATAATGCAACGTTTATCAAAATCCTAGTTGGCTTTTTTTCCCCCCCTTTTTTTTTTTTGCAGAAACTGACAAGTGAATTCTAAAGAAAAGGAAAGGGACCAAGAATAGCCCCAAAAAAAATCTTGAAAAAGAAGAGCAAAGTTAGATGACTCACACTTTGAGATTTTAAAATTTACTACAGAGCCACAGCACTCAAAACATTGTGGTATTGGCATTGGATTGACATGTGTTATGATCAATTGATTTTTGATAGGGGAGCCAAAACAATTCACTGGGTAAAGAATAGTCTTCCAACAACTGGTGCTGGAACAACTGCATATCCTTAGGAAAAAGAATGAAGTTGAACCTTGCTTCATACCAAACACAAAAATTAATTCAAAACCATAGACTTCTAAGCAGTGAAACCTAAAGCTATATAACTCTTAGAAGAAAATATAGGCATAAAGCTTTGTGACTTCGGATTAGACCAGGGGTGGGGAACGTGGGGAATCATTTGGTCTGGCCCTGCCAAGGCATTAGGGGTGAGTTAATTAAATGTTTGACCAAATACAGCAAAATTAAGTTGATAAATTTGAATGGCCCATGAACGATGTTATAAATATACAAATGGCCCTTGGCAGGAAAACGGTTACCCGCCCCTAAATTAGACCAAGCTTTCCTAGATATACAACACTAAAAGTAGAAGAACCAAAGGAAAAATACATAAATTGGGCTTCATCAAAATTAAGAACTTTGGTGCCTTTTAAGGACACCATCAGGAGTATAAAAAGACAACCATAGAATGAGAGAAAATATTTACAAATCATATATATGATATATGACTGCTATTCAGAGTGTATAGAGAACTATTACAACTCAATAATAAAGGGTAAACAGTTTAAAAAATTGGACAGGTTATCTGATGGCCAACATTATTAATCACTAGAGAAATACAAATCAAAACCATATGAAATATGCTTTACACCAATTAGGATGACTATAATAAAAAAGACAGTAATGTGTTGGTGAGGTGGTGGAGAAATTGTAACCATTTATACATTGTTGGTGGGAATATAATGTGGAGCAGCAGCTTTAGAAAAACAGTCTGGCAGTTCCTCAAAATGTTAAACATTAGTAGTTACTGTGTGATTCAGTGATTCCACTTTTAGGTGTAGCCAGTATTGAAAACAAACATCTACATCAGTGGTTCTCAACCTTCCTCACGTCGCGACCCTTTAATACAGTTCCTCATGTTGTGGTGACCCCCAACCATAAAATTATTTTCGTTGATACTTCATAACTGTAATTTTGCTACTGTTATGAATCGTCATGTAAATATCTGATATGCAGGATGTATTTTCATTGTTACAAATTGAACATAATTAAAGCATAGTGATTAATCACAAAAACAATATGTAATTATATATGTATTTTCCGATGGTCTTAGGTGACCCCTGTGAAAGGGTCATTCGACCCCCAAAGGGGTCGCGACCCACAGGTTGAGAACCGCTGATCTACATAGAAGAACATGAATGTTCATAGCAGCATATATATATATCTATATATATCTGTGTGTGTGTGTATGCGTGTGTGTGTGTGTATATGCCTAAGTGATCCTTACAACCGACCGGAATGACTGGTGAATCAGTCTCTCTGATGTGCACTGACCACCAGTGGGCAGACAACTCAATGCAGGAGCTGCCCCCTGGTGGTCAGTGTGCTTCCATAGCAGGAGCGCTGCTCAGCTGACTGATCCATCCTGGTGGCCCACCACCCTGGCAACAACCACTCACTCCCTAAGTAGTCCTGCAGGTCTAATCTCCAGAGAACAGGTCAGGTACTGATGGACCAGTGCCACCGGCCGGCTGGATCCGGATCCCAGACCGGCAAGGGCGTCCCACCATCAATCACGTCCTGGCCCCCCTCACCCCTCCTCAGGACCCCACCCGTGCACGAATTTGTGCACAGGGCCTCTAGTTATTTGTAATAGCTAAAAAGTGGAAACAGTCCAAATGTCTACCAACTGATAAATAGATGACTATGATATGTAGTGTGTCCACACTATGTACTATTATCCTATATAATAAAAGAGAAAAATGGTAATTGGCGTATGGTGATACCCTTTTCATTGGCTAATCAGGGCTATATGCAAATTAACTGCCAACTCAGATGGCAGTTAACTGACAACAAAATGGCGGTTAATTTGCATATGTAGGCACAATGCAGGGAGGCAAAAGGGAAAGCAGGAAGAAGCCCCCTGCCACTGACAGTGATCGGAAACCCAGGGGGG